GGGGAGGGGGAGGGGTGTCGGGGGTAAAGCGAGCTGCACCCCCTCTCAGCACCGACCCGCTAGCTACACCCGCTGCCGTCGCGCTCCGCGCCAGAATGCCGCCTGCCGCCCGCCGAGCCACCGCTATATAAGCGCCCGGGGCTGGGGGCGGGGCCGGACATTTAAATGAGTGCCCAATCGGGGGGCGGGGGCGGGGTCGCGGGCGCCTCTTGCGCAGTGGGCGACGCCAGCCGTCTGGTCCCCCCCATTACATGCCACTGCCAGGGGCAGGTAGGGTCGGATGTGGGAAAGAGGCGCGGGATCTGCCGGGCCCTGGACGGGAGGGGGGTCGTCGAGGAAGGCGGGGCGCTCGTCATCCCCGGCTCTGGGCCCCACTCGTGGTGAATTCTGCTGCACCGTGGCGAGGCCCGCAGCGCCCTGGCCCTGACCCGCTCCTTGAACTCTTGGAAGGGCTCACATGTCCATACTCGTCAGACCGCTGGTCCGGTCCTGAGTTATACTCTAGAAAATGCGGCCCTAACAGCCGCAGGGCCCCGCGCCGAGTTCGGCGCCCCCTCGGGCCAAGAGGTCCCACCCATGTCCCTGCTGAGCCTGCTGCAACCAGCGGGGGGTGGGGAGGGGGAGTGGGGGGTGGGGAGGGGTCTGACCTAACGCGGGGTCACTGGGGTCAGGCTGGTGAGGCCCGTCTGGCATTGCGCTTCTCAGCCCATTGGTGGCTAGTCATTCTGAGCTGGGACAGAAATTCGAGGTCAGTCCCTTTTGTCTTACAAAATACTTTTGGGGAGGAGGGGGTGACCTTGATGGACATCATCATCCTTTGAAAGCTGAGGAGCCTGAGACTCAGCGATGTTGACCTATACTTGACCTGTGCTTGGAGTCCCAGGCTCCCAGGGCTCCCCCATATAGAACCCCAGTGAAACTCAACAAACCTCAAACTCCTATTTCTGAAAGTGAGGGAAGAAAAGGCACCAAGCTTCCCTCCACAGCTGTGACATCCTACTGGAGACAACCCCCAAAGATATCCAGCCCAGCCTCCCACCCTGCTTGGAGTGGAAGGTGGAAGCAGGAACCGGGTAGCAAGGCAGCTTGGTCCTTGGTCCTTTTTTCTTTGGACTGGAGTCCTGGCAGGCTGGGATTGTGTGTCCAGGTGTAGACAGCCACTTGCCTTTAGCCCCCAGTAGGAAAGGGATGGAGCTGGAGGAAGCCAAGTGTTGCAAAAGGAAGGCTGTGTCCTGAACAAGCTCAGCATGTCCCTCCCTCCTACGAGAAAGGCCTCCTGGGAGGCTAGATGCTGTGAGGTGTGGAGACACCCCTGGGCCTGAGAAATCAGGAACTCCCCATACACCTGACCACAGAGGGACTGGTGACTTCTACATTGGGCACTGACTGTTGTAGCCTTCATCACCACCCCCACTCTGACACTTCTGAGCTAGCATCTCATTTTACACTAGGTTCAGAATAGGACACAGCAGCATGCCCAAAAACACACAGCAGCTAAGAGTGGGAAACAGTTTGCAGAGATCTGGGCTGGAGGTTAAAGAAACCCCTTGAAAGAATTTCCTATGGAGAGCTGGGGCTGTTTGATGAGAGTGAGAGGCAAGAAAAGTTAGTTTTCTAGTTTTCGGACAGAGAAGGGCACCCCACCTACACTGCTGCTCACTCACAATACAGTGAGTGATTCCACCTGTTACCACTAAGGGATGGACATCAAGACCTGCTCTCTGTCTCTGCCACAATAGGGAACCCACAATGCTGCCAGGCACTGCCTTCTCTGACTGGTAGGGCTCAGATAGAGGATGTGTGAGTCCTGGAGGGGTTGATGTCAGAGGTTAAGAGTAACTCTCAAGGCTCCTGATCTCTAGGCACTGCCTGGTGGGGATAGAGGAAGATCTCTGGGAGGATTCCAGGAGAGAGAGGAACATTAGGGCTAAAAGACCCTAAGCACCCAGGGCCCCTAAGGGAGCCTTCACCATAGGGGAGGCTCTGCATCCTCACAAGACATCCCAGGAGGCTGGAGTGGGGTGCCAAGCCCTCATCAAATCCAGGCCCCAGTAGTACCTGACTTCTAGAAAAGGGAGGGGGAGGCTTAAGATGCTGGGGCTCTGGAGGCCCTGTACAGCAGCCCCATGGCCTCCTCAAGCACACTGTGGCTCCTTCCTTCCCAGCTGCTGCCTGCCCAGACAATGCTCCCATTGTTCTGTGTCTCCCAGAGCCTGTGTGGAACTGTGTGTGTGTTTTGCTGTGTGTGGCTGTGTATGGCTTTGTGTCTGTCTGTGTGTGACTTTGTGATTATGTGTGAGAGAGAGAGAAAAGAAAGAGAGGCCAGGTGTATACATTTGTTGTATGAGTCTGCATCTTTGGTTCTGTGTTTAAAAAGTTAGAGATTTGGTAAGTTCTCTGAGACTTTTTGGTTGTGTACCTGACCTTCCTTGAGACTGTGTGTTGGTGACTATGTCTGAATGTGATGGGGTGTGTGACTGAGTGTGTGTGGCACTGACAAAATACCTATGAGTAAGGGGTTGGGAGAGTAGCTGTTTTGTAATACTGTTCCCATGGGGGTGGGCAGGGCAGGGCAGGTGTTGTGTGTCTCAGGGCCTTGTGGGCCACTGAAGATGTGGTCTGTCCTGGTTTTTACTGTCAACTTGACACAATCTAGAGTCACCTGGGAAGAGGGAACCTCAATTGAAGAATTGCCTAGATCAGACTGGCCTGTGGGCATGTCTATGTGGCATTGCTTTGATTGCTAATTGATGTAGAAGGGCCCGGCCCTCTGTGGGCAGGGCCATCCCTAGGCAGGTGGTCCTGAGCTGTATAAGACAGCTAAGCATAAGCCTGGGGGCAAGCCAGCAAGCAGTGTTCCTCCAGGGCTCCTGCTTCAAGTTCATGCTTGAGTACGTGCCTTGTCTTACTCCAGTGGACTGTGACCTGGGAGTTATTAAGAAGCTGGGCGCACGCCTTTAATCCCAGCACTCAGGAGGCAGAGGCAGGCGGATCCCTGTGAGTTTAAGGCCAGCCTGGTCTACATAGTGAGTTCCAGGACAGCTGGGACTACAGGGAGACCCTATCTCAAAAAGACCAAAAAAAAAAAAAAAAGAATAAATTCTTTCTTCCCCCAAATTGCTTTTGAAAGAGTGCTTTATCACAGGAATAGAGCTGGACCTAGAACATGTCAAAAACCTTTGAGGGGTGGGCTTTTCCAGGATGGAGTAACAAGGGAAGTCATTGAGATGGAGGGGGAAGGAAGGCTGCCATGACTACAGACCCATGGTCACACATCCCCATCTGCCCCAGTTCTCCTAGAAAGAACGTGGGACCCCCACAGAGACAGAGGACAGAACTGGCAGTGGGAGGACAGAAGAGAATATTCCTTATAAAGGCTCAGATTAGATACCAGGTGAGCTATCGGTGGGAGAGGAGATGGAGAAACAGGTTTCCTATTGGAGGGAACTTCATATTTAAAGGCCTTGGGTTGGGAAGAGACTTCAGAACAGGCCTCAGTTCTGTAAGAGGCTCTAGGGATGTCACTTGGCATAGTTTGGTTTCCAGACCCAGAGTTCCCATCTCCCATACCATCTATCTGACCTAGAGACTTCAGATCTGGCTTGGGTAAGCCTCCTGCTTGGCTCCATAAGCTGGTTCTCTCTCTTCTTCAACCTTAGTTTGTTACCTGTATGAGGAGAGAGTGGAGTCCTAATTCATAGTCACAACTGGAGTCCCTTCTGCTACACTAGAGAGGGCGAGTGGTGAGACACAGGACATTCTTTTTTTCTTTTTTTGGTCTTTTGAGACAGGATCTCCCTGTAGCCCTAGCTGGCCTGGAGCTCACTATGTAGATCAGGCTGGCCTCTTACTTACAGAGATCCACATGTCTCTGCCTTCTGAGTGCTGGGATTAAAGGCATGCACCACCATGCCCAGCTGAGACACAGGACTTTTAAAGAAATTATTTTTATTATGTGTCTCTGTGTGGGTATGTGCACACGAGTGTAGGTGCCCACAGAGGTCAAAAGAGGGCATGAGATGCTGGGCATGAAACTTGGGTCTTATGCAAGGACAGTATGCACTTTTAAGTGGATCTCTCCAGCTCCAGCTCAGGGGTTTTCTATCTAGTGGAAGAGACAAGCAAAGATGTAAGTGAAGAAAAAGCCATATTCAAAGTTAGATGAGGGGCCCGTGGGCTGCATGGAAGAAGAGCTTAGAGCAGGGCACAGTGGAAGCGGTTAATGTGGTGTGAAGATGGATGTGGAGGGAAGAGCCTAGCCTGGGGCAAGTTTGGAAGACAGGAACATAGTACAGTGACTGAGTGTGGCGATGATGGGGATGGGGTGGTGCTGCTGCCCCTGCTTTCTATTTTGGATGACTGTGAAGCTGGTCCATTGACTGA